ATGTAGTAGAAGTATCATGCGTATCATTATTGATGGCGACACTTTCTTCGACAATGAAGGAGCTTTTCAGAATAATTTATTTAGTTTGATTTTATATAGCAAGTTTTACCTCAGCATCTCATGGCCAAGGGAGAATATAGGGTGGAAACAGCTTGGTGAAGCAGCAGATCCTTCACCACGATAACGCTTTGTCACACTACTTTGAGATTGCAACATTTTTTTTTTTTTTTTTTAAATCTAGTAATGTAACAAATTGCATCTAACTTCTTTTACTTACCAGTCTTATACTAGCGACTTTTTTATTTTTGTGAAGTGCAAAATTAAGATCGATGTTTACGTCCCAATGGAATGTTCTTTGAACATGATAGGAAGAAATCAGATATACAGTATATTACTACATTTATAAAAATAAAACATTTATTTTGCGATCATTTGGGTAGCAGCTTGTAATATTTTTCAAAATAAAATCTTCAAACATTTTTCTAATGAAGAGTTATTAATTTTTCTTCCCATATTTTTTATCATTTGCTTCTGAGAAAATGTCTTCAAACATGCATGGAATACCTGGAATGTTTTAAAATTTTTTTTTGCGATAACAAATTTTGTTTAAAAGTATACTACAGTTTGTTTATGATTAATTACTTACTATTCTCAGGTTGTAAGTTCTAAAAGCAATTCGGTGAATTGGAATGTAAGCTTTTTGTGGAAATGTGGAGAATCTTACATGGGAGCGACTTGATTATCAGGATTGTTAGTTTATTCATGTTCAGAAATAGCTATAGTTCACAAAATGAGATTTAAAATATATAAGATATAAGAAATATATTTTTTCATTCTTAAAAGACAACTATCTCAAAATGTTACTGTAATTATATATAAAAAATTGATTAAATCTAGAAAACACACAAATTAATTACTTCTACTGTTACCTTAAAGTATACATTTTGAATAAACACTCAGATATAAGCAAAAGACTATTATTTTAAGTCTTTAGGGGTTCATCCATAGACCCTTTCATTGACTTGCAGACTACGTCTTCCTCTAGTACTTTAGAACTTCGTAATACAGTTCTTTTTCTTTGCGTAAATATTTAGAGGAATGCAGAAAAGTAAAATTTAATGTCATTAATGAATAGAAATCTTCTTCTGTATACATATTTGAAAAGTATTATATAGATTAAAAATCTCGCATCTGTAGCTGAGAGTGCAGCTAGGGAGCTATCATTAAATTCTGGCAATTCTCTTGCAAGTCCTACAAACTACTAGTAAGCTAAGCAACACTAATACTCTAGGTGCATTTCCTCAGGTGAATCTCTTGTCCACTTTAAGCTCTAAACAGCAACCACTGAAAATTAGCTTGAATTTTGTATAAAATGATAAAATTTGATTTTAAATTGTTTCCTAAAATTCTCCATCAATATGTCACTGGTTTTACTGGACATTTTCAGAGTCAATCAGAAAAAATTAAGAAAATACTGCATTAACTTTTCTTTTAGGTTCGACATAACTACTTTTCTAATTGAAGGTATGTCAGGTTTCATCAAAATATCAATGTAAAATAAACAAATACAAAAATACTAATACAAAAACAAAAAATACTGCACAATTAGGTCTTATATGAGATCTTCTTTATCAGCAGGAAGGAGAGCAACAACAAAGAAAATATATCATTTATCAGGTGCAAAAAGCAACACATATGCATTGTAGATTGTGTTAGAATAGTCAAAATGATCTGCTTAATTTTTTCCTCTGGAGAAATGATCCCCTGTTTGCTTGCAGTTCTTGCTTTTGATAAAAATCTTAGTGAGACTTTCAAATAACTACCAATTTCTCGTCTCACTTGTTTTATGAGTTTGAAGCTTGTTTATATCTGTGATATTTTTCTATCGCATGAGAACGCACTTTCACTTAAAAATATGTTAGCTGTACCGTTCGGTCTAAAAATCTGGCTTAGAGCTGCTGAAGAAGTTCGATTTTCCAAATAATATTTCCATCTATGAGCAAAACAGGTTGCATTCATCTGTAAGACTTGACGTCAGTGCATTTATTGTATTTCCGTTCAGTGTGTTATTTCCTACATTGCAAAATGATTGTAATGAAACCTGCACTGCCATTTTGCATGGCAAACCCATTCGTTGTAAGCATATGAAAGTTTATTAAGGAACTATATTCCGTTAATTAAGTGCGTTAGAATCTAGTCAGTAAAACGGTGTGTGTTAGAAGTGTATTGGAAGCCAAAGTAGTTTTAGTTTGCTAGTATAAATACATGTTTGATAAATGCGGCATTTTTGTTATTGGAGAAACGAAGTACTTTCGTAATTTTCTTACATCTTATGCTAAATAAACAAAAAGAAATTAAAGTTTTATGTCTTTTTATTGAAAATGTAAGTGACAGAAGTGCTAAAACCTTGTTTATCTCAATATCTCTTTTACAAGGTAAAATAAATGTGGAATTTTTTTATATCTAAATTATTCGGAAGATTTTCTCACTCGGAAAATGGTTATTTGGAAATTTTTCTTACGGTTAAAAATAGTTTTTAAAATTATACATGACACTGCTTTAAGTTATGTTTCACATTTGTTGCAATAAAGGTTTTATAAATACTGTTTTCTCTTTCACTTTCTTCATGAGAATATTAACCGATTGCTTCTTCATTTATTTTGCATGACTTGCATTTGTATGCATTATTTATGGTGGTCCGCATGTCAGTTACTTTCTCATTGAGAAGTTGCTGGCGTGTGTTAGTTTTGGTTTTCTAGTCCTTTTTTTTTTTTTTTTTTTTTTTTTTTTTTGAGGTAAAATAAAAATAGCATTTTGTGAGCATAAAATAAAAATAGCATAGAGTGAAAACTATAATTTCAGAAATTTTGTTTGAATACTTTAAAATATTCTTTAGAAGAGAATAATTTACTCTTGGAAGCGAATGATTTATTCTCTGCCTTAGAAATGAAAACAAAATATTTGAAGTATAATGTAAGAGAATATATAATTAAAAGGAGCAAGTATTGATACTCTTAAACTGCTATAAGGATATTCATTAGTGTTGATCAATTAGTGAAGTCAATTGTGAAGTCAATTGTGCATTTAACATTTCTTATTTTACAACATTTTTCTGGATGTAAGTTTTTAATGTATGATATATTCACTAGTATTTTCTTTATTTTGAATTCAAGAAATACACAGCAAAATTTTAGTCTTTAATTAAGAACATTCAAGGTAGTTTTTGTTCTTTTAAGCAAGACATATTCTTAATCGTAAGATGTTATTTATTATAATTTCTCCCTTTCTATAATTATGTATTTTATGCTTACAGTAAGACATAAGTTGACCAGTATTAAAGAAGACTAATTTAAGTAAGTTGAGATTATTTTGTGAACTGAGATATATCAATCAATTTAGTAATTCCAGTTTTTGCATTCTTATTAAGAAGAGACTGCAGGCTCCTTTATAAAATTACCGGAAACGAAAGGGTAGCCTGAATGAAATTGTTTTCTAAAAATGAAAAAACTTGAAATTTATTGTAGGGATATTAAGTTAATTGGAAAAGCCGGAGATGAGAAATGAGCATTCGCCTTCGCCGGGAATCAAACCACGGATCGATGGAATACCGGCCCAACGTGCAGAACCACTACACCACGAAGGCACGCTAGGAAGGCGGGAGAAATACCTTATACCGCCCTTTTAAAGGGCGACTGGGGTTTTTAGGGGACCCAATCGCCAAATCCTGGGTGAGGAGAATCATCATCAAACATCCTTTTTAGTTCGGACTCCATTGTAGAGACATTAGGATTCTTTGGAAGCAAGCAAGATGAAAAATTAGCAAACGCCTTCGCCGGGAATCGAACCACAGACCTCTGGAATATTGGCTCAGCGTGCCGAGCCACTACACCACGAAGGCACGCTAGGAACGCGTGAGAAATGACTTATATTATATTAAAAAGGTAATTTTAAGTAGGTAAGTTGAAATAAAACTATATTTAACTTATCACAGAATTTGATAATTTGCAAAAAATTTCAAAATATTAATAAATTGTATACTTTTTGAATAGAGTGAAAACTATAATTTCAGAAATTTTGTATGAATACTTTAAAATATTCTTTAGAAGAGAATAATTTACTCTTGGAAGCGAATGATTTATTCTTTGCCTTAGAAATGAAAACAAAATATTTGAAGTATAATGTAAGAGAATATATAATTAAAAGGAGCAAGTATTGATACTCTTAAACTGCTATAAGGATATTCATTAGTGTTGATCAAATATTTGTTACATAAAAAATAATCTTATTTTCCTGACAATTTAATTACTGAAAAAACGACTAAGATAATAGTTCTTAAATATTATTAAAAATGACTATTATGAGAAAACTATTTTGCGATTATTAAAATTTGTTCCTTTTCCAAATAATTTCTAACCTGTAAATAAAAAAAAGCTGTAAATTAATAAAGAAATGTGTTTTATACATTCAGTATTTTGTGGATTGTTTTCAAAAAATTGAAAATTGAATCTCATTAAATTTTTGACAGCTATCGGAAATAGATCGCTAATAAATTAATAATTGCTGATTCAGAAATAGTTATTAATTAATAATTTACCAACATTGCCTACGCTATGAAAACTATATTTATTTGTTATATAAGTCAAGTCAAAATATTATGCAAGAGGAAAGGATATTTACATCAGTTCTCGAATTTTAAAAATATAAAAATGTTTTATTTTTGCAATGCTGCTTTTTATGAAAATGTTAAATTTTTAACAGAAATACAAGTCAAATAATATCAGAGAAATGAAACACATTTTTATATTTCTAAATTCTTAGAAGTGATAAAAAGTACATTTTTATCTTGCATAATGTTTCGACTTCTGGAAGAAATACTCGTCATAGAGTAAGTAATATTTACAAGATGAAGTACCATTCATCGCGTAAACAGAAATATATAGAATTTTATATTGTATTTTAATTAATTTCCTGTTAACTGTTTTGTCTGACGAAAATATAACATTGTGTTGTTTATAATAATATTGTGTTGTTTACAGGTTTTATAAAATCATATGAAGTTTATTGTTTTAGCATTAAAAAAGTGAAGGGTGGAAAACTTTCTTATTAGCTACGATCACATTCACAGGGAAATAATCCACGGAAACTTTCTCTAAATCTACTGTTCATGAAACAATATGTTACTGGATTGCAACAGGAGGAAGTATAAGCCAACAATTGTAAAAAACATACTCCACTGTATCCTATGTTTGAGTAGACTGTCGTTGGATCAAAAAGAGAGATAGTGTTGATTGTGTACAATGGAGTCCAACAAATAAAGAATTCTAACACAACAACAAAAAGCATTTTGATGATTCGTTTCTTCTGGATGATGCCTCTTTCAACATTATTCTTCCGAATGCCTGATGCATCAGAAAGATTGCGGGAGGCATTGCTTGAATTTCCAGAGGCATTTGTGGAAGTGAAGATTGATGCTGTAGAAAGTGTAGTTCGTCTATTCAGATCTGGAGATGTTTTCCAACAATAGCGCATTTTGAAACCTAAAAATAAAAATACCATAGTCATAATATAAAGATTTTCTTCTTTCAACAGAAATGCTTTGTATGACTGCATTTGGGAAACATTTCTAGTATTAAATTATTTTAACATAAATATTACTGCACATTATTTTAACATAAGTATTACTGCATAAGTAAGTACATTTATACATATACCACAAAATAATGCAATAAAGTCTCTTCCGAAGAAAATGAGTTTTAGTAAATAGCTATTATCCATGATTCAAGAATGTTGCTTAGAAAATTACATAGCTTAGAAATTTTAGCACAAATAATTTTATTTTTCCCATTGCTAGAAATTAAAGGAAGTAGAAAAGAATATTAAAAGGAAACAGACAATATAATAAGATATAACAAGTAAGAAATACATATTTTAAACGCCACTGATCGAATACTACTTTATATTTCAAATCTTTATTGATTAGAAGCATTACGAGCATTTTTGGCTTTTATATTTGTTATAATTAGTGTGTGTTATGTGTAGGTATATTTGAATTTCTTTCTAAGCAGATCCAGCTTCAACTTTGCTGGGCTCGGGAAGGGGGGGAGGACCGTGCCAGCCTTTGCAGTTTTGCCATTGATATACTACAGGTTAGTACATGTAACAGTTGACAGGAAGAGCGATAGATGAGAAGCCATCATTTCAAATAGTCAGTGGCAGTGGAGCGCTAAAAAGTCAAGAAACTTAGGCACAGATGTCTTTTAAGGATTCGTTTTCTCTGTTGTTTATGAGGTAAAAGCAGGAATTTCTATGATTTAGCGTCCCCCTAGAACATGAATCCGTTCGTCTAGGCATTGTGGGTTCAGACAGTAATCAAGCGTTTTCAATGAGGATTTACGGAAGCTCATGTATAAAGTCTTCTAGGCGCGCTTGGAAATATGCATAAATGTAAACAGAGGCCAACTGCCTGATGTAATTTTCAAAAGGTACGTTTATAATATGTAGATAGTAAATAGCACACCTGGAAGTACGACACCTGGAAGTACGTATTTATAGACGGATCTGTTTATTTTCCTTTATTCTGGATAGACGAATTTGTTTATTTTCTTCTTCAGACCTTGTTACGACTTCCAAATGTTACTTATAATCTTTTTAAAATATGCCAGTTGGCTATGCGCCAACTTACAAATAGGGATAACACTAGTTTCTTCCGAATAAAGGAATCATGAAAAATGGAACAGAATTTTACTACCATGTACATAGTTTTACGGGGAATCAGCGCTGGCGTAAATTTTACCACATAGATATTCCATTAGAGAACACTCACCGTTTATCATTATAAAACGGCCGCTTCATGCATACATGAATATTCTTAAAGGCACATTAATAGAGATAGATAGAAGAGTAGAAAATTATGAAACGTTCGCAAAAAGAGTTTATTTCGTTCAAGAGCTTTGCTGTCTAAAATAATGCATATTTAATAATAAATATTACGCTAATGTTTCTGCTTAAGAAGCCATATATATTATTTTTCCCTCACTAAAAAATTGCTTTCACAAATCTTGTTATTGCTGCACTTTGTTCTGACCTGAACTGTAACTTTTTTTAAATGTAAGATAGCTAAATACTTATGATAACCTCCCCTTCTGTGAATCAGCATTCATTCTACCTTCCATTCCATGAACGAGTAAAGTTTTTCTGCTAATAAACGATCATAGTCGCTATAAATCTATGTATAATAACTCAGTTACCGAATTCATAGATTCTTCATATTCATAGATGCTAAGTGGATTTACAAATATTAGACGTCTTACATTTAAAGAGTCTAACTGATAGGAGAATGATATTTCGTCAAATATTACGCCAAAAGAATGGGAGCAACAAAATAAAATTTTCATTACTCATACAATCAGTGAAAGATTAAAAAAGAATTACTGAAGTTCAAATACTTCTGTTTTAGACCAATTATTAGGAATGTGTTTATCACCAAATAGCAAAAAATATATATACCTAAATAAAAAATATATTTAGTCCTCAAAGAAAAACACTGCGAGCCGAAGATGTATTTGAAGCTGCTGAAATTGTGACGAAAACAAATGAGCAAAATCTAAGTTTTCTTAACCCACAAGGGAAAAATGTTAGCAAAAACAATATTAAAAAAAAGCAATAAAACGAAAATCTGAAAGGTTTCAGATTTTAAATTGCGTCCAAAGGGGCGTTTTTTAACATTTCGTGTGTTACCTTTATTTATTAAATATCATGTTCCCACTTAAACCATAAAATTCAGTTCAAGACGAATATCGCAAAATAATTTTAAACTTAGCATATCTTTAGAATTTCCGATACACAGTCTGGAGATAAAAATGTTTTTCTGTACAACGTTGCCATTGTTCGCTTTGGCATCCTTGAGTTTGTTAATGAAAAATTCGTTAAACTTTTACAAAATATGAAATCAATAATAAAACAAATTCCAAATTTCAAATTTGGGCTTCCACATGCCCATATTCGCAGTACGATTACATTCAAAATTTGATGGCTCTAGGTACCGTTGTTTTATCCCAACGCGAAAAACATACATACATTTATGCAGATTTCTCATTATATAATTTCTTCAAATATAATACAGGGCGATAATATTTGGTGGCAACAGTTTGAAAAGTGAGACGGACATTCAGAATGATTCGATGCAAAATCGCAAAATAAAAACATTAGTTCTCAGGGACAAAGCCCCTTTGGACCAATAATTTTCTTAATGTGTTAGCTTATAAAGTATTCTTTCGCTACTTCTATCTCATTCTGCCCTATCGAAGATTTTTAGCTAATTATAACTTTATATAAAAGCTAAAACCTAAATTATTACACGGACTTGTAATTGTAGTCACTATAATTTTATTTTAATTGAGAAATTAAAATATGTAGAAAATTACTATACCTTGTAATCTGATTACACACAATATGTAATTTCTCGTAACTGTTTACAATTTCAGAAGAAATGTTATAGTTGGAGAGAATGCCTATTCGGTTCTTGCTCTATCTAACTTTCTACAGTTGTGCTTTAAATTTAACTTAGGCATCCAATTTCTGGATATTTTTAATATCACTTGTAGAATCTGTAGTTTTTAATATCACTTGTAGAATCTGCAGTTTTTAATATCACTTCTGGAATTTGCAATATCACTTGTAGAATCTGCAAACTGTAAACAGTTAACTGGTAAGAAAAGTAAAAAAAAACTCTTGCAAGCTATATATCATTATGCCTGTCATACATTATTTTCTGAACACAATTTATGAATAGTTCAATATTCATTAGGAAACTGGGCTATCTAAACATCGCTTTTTTTCTACTTAGAATTTTTAATTACGGTCCTCTATAAAAGGGATTCATCTTCGCATTTGAAACATTCGTTCGCATCCATAATATTTAATGCAAAATTTCCCTAATTTTATATTCAAAATTACTGCGCTAGTATTCAACTTAAAGAGAGCGTTGAGCTTAATTAAAGCGTTTTTTACGAGAGCATTGCCTAGTTTTAATTTACATGACCTTTCGGCACATACGTATATACATTTAAGTGCAATATACATATAACTTAAATGGTTTGTGTTTTTACAGTACTGTGAAAATATTACATTAATTTTTTAGATCAGATTGATGACATATAGTCCTAAAGTTCAGGGTCAGATTTTATTATAGTTACCTGCATTCTGTGATTCACCAGCTGATACGGCCATAGTTTGCCACAGAGTTCTAATAATGAGAGAGTAGGTGACACTCATGAGAACAAGTGGTAAAAAAAGAAGAAAAATATCCAGAAATATCGTAAAGCTCTTTTCAGCAGTAATGGTGGGCCAACTTTCTCTGCACTTCTGCTTTGCTAAAAAACAAATTTGATTAGTCTTCTATTTTATACAAACAAAAATTTCAAGAACTGCATTGAAAATTCTCATAGTATTTATCTCATAGTTATCATAATAAATATTGTTGCCCTTTAAAAGACATTTACCAAAAATACCTTTTTTCACACTCCTTCGTAATATTTAAATGTTTAATCTCTTTATATATTTATATTTAGAATTAAGAAACACATATTGAAATGAAATTTTAATTGTAGATAAGGTGTCATATTTTATTTTTCGTTGAAATGCTTTTCTAAATATGTAGCTTCATTTTGCAACTGTAAGTATTTCCGAAATTAACTGCAGTAGCAGCGGAATGCTGTAAAATCTGTTTGCAAATGAAAAACTTAGATTATTCTATGATATTGATTTCTAGAATCTCTAATTATTATATATTCAAAATCTAAAATTAATGCTATTATAAGTTCTATTTAAGAGAATTTATAAAAGTCTAAAGTAAGGGACTTTTCGATTATTCAGTATCTTATGCTAAATACGCAGTTAAGGTTAATTTTATTCAAAAATACTGGTCTTCTAAAATTAAAAGAAACATCGTTAAAAAATCCGGCGAAATTTTAGTTATATAAAAGTTCATGTTTCAAGTCATAATTAATTAATTTTAATTACAGAAAGGTTTCAAGTAATCTAGTTTAAATTATTATCACGAGTACAAATTTGGAGAAATTTCTTACTGGTATCTAGTTTCGCAAACTCTTAGTAATACTTCATTCTAACGCATATTCGCTTAAATAGTGAAATAAATATATCTATAACTCGAAATCATTGTTACAAATATTTCGAATTTTTTTGAAGCATAAAAATGGACGCTTACTTTGTCAAAGGTTTATTTAACAAAGATTTCTATTTAAAGTGCCGAAGATTAACGTCTTTAGAAACATTAAAAGGTATAATTCTGGGACGATTAGTCTAATGATATAGTACTTTGCCACATAAATTATAAAAAGGTCACTCTTAAATAAGTCCACATAAGACAAAAACCTTTCGATGAATTTTACATATTAGGCATACGCACTACTATATACTTTAATGTTTATATAATACATATGGAGCTCAAAAGAAAGCCCATGCTTAACTTTTATTTTATAAATGAGTTATTTCGAGTTTCTACAGCACGCATCTCTAGTAAAATCAACACATTTCGATTGAACAGAAGTATTGTAGTTTCCGTAGCGTAAATTCTATTAAATTATCGAATATAACTAAAGAGCCGAGACAGAAAACAACGTTCGATTACAAAGGCGTCTAGCAGCATCTATTGCTGTTAATCAACCCATATTGATGCACAATATTTACCAGCCTTACTTCATCAAAATTCTAAATCAATTACAGAATGCGTTGTTTCAGCGCAAACAAACTTATAGACACATTTCTGTTAGACGTAACCAAAACCATTATTGTTCTAAATTTTCTACACCCTTTGAGAAGTTAATCCACTTGCATCTTTAATCACCGCCATGGCAAAATATTAGTATTCCAAAACAAAGCCTTGGGTGTCAGTCGATTCCCGAATGTATAAAGCAGGACTGCTCAACATATGAGTAATAGTCCAAGCTATCAAAGTCGGTTTGCAACTACTACTTGTAACTTAAAAATTCCAAATCATACGACTATGAAAACAAAATCTTGCTAAAGAATGAATTTTGAAGCGAAAGAAAAATTTCGGAGACATATGAGCGACACTTCTACAAGATGAGTTACCCCCAAAAGGTTACAATTTCTCCCAACAGTCGTAGAACGTTTATTAAATCCTTTCAGGCATGTATTTGTAAATCATAAAATGTCTCTAAATGTAGAAATTTATGCTTTACCCTTCTTAAATTTTAAAATTTGGAAACTTTCTAGCTTATGCGTGAAATTTAATCCATATGGAACAGAAAAGTCCAATAATTTTTTGTTTGATTAAGTCTCAAAAGACTTAATTTGAGACACGAGATCAAAAATGACTGAAAGGATCAGTTAGTTGATGGTTTGAAAAACTCTTATAATCACTAACCAAATTCTGAACACTGAAGAACGTGCATAGTTATTAGGTTATATTGACGCAGGGACGTGTAAAATGTGCAACACCCTCGCTGGAGTTCAAACTTCGGACCTTCCGAATGCACGCCGAGTGTGCTTTTAGTTACACTACGAAGACATGCGGAAAGGAGGGAGAAAATACTTCATATACTCCTCCTGTCAAAGGGAGACTGGAGATGAAGGGACCCTGTCGCCATATCCTGTTGGTGATTCTTTATACTTATCGTCTACCAACTTAGTTCGGCGCCACTGTACATCATTAGGTTATATCGATGCAGGAACCTGGAAAATGTGCAATGCCCTCTGATTCGGAGTCCAGATCTCCCGAATACGCGTCGAGTGTGCTTCCAGTTATACCACGAAAACACACAAGAAGACATGGAAAGGAGGGAGAAAATGCCTCAAACACCATAAATCTTCCATGAAATAAAAGAAAAGATGCCAGCTTTATAAATGACGATAAATGGTTGAATGCCTGGGTATTTCTAGTAACTATCAATTACGTACCTATCTTGAGTGTTTAAATGAGCATTTCGAGGATGAGATGATCTTATCGATAAACTGCATAAGAGTATTTAAGCTTTCATGCGGAAATTAAGACTTTCAGCAGCAGTTGATTGTGAATTAGGACGCCTCCTTTCCTCATTGGCTTATCAACAAGTTCGGTTTTAACAGTAAGACATAAAAAGTAATCTATGCTGACTGGAGAACCTGGTAATCAATACAGGAAATGATTCTGGACATGTGCCATTCAAATGAAGTTACTTTTACGTGTATGTGGAACCGATTCTAGTCTATGTGGAACCGATTCTAGTCTATGTGGAACCGATTCAACTGGCTCACTAAATTACCGGCGCTTCAGATTAAAGTATCGAAGGCGAGAGAAAGCAGAGCCGCAATAGTTACATTTAACTAGAGCTGGCAGAATCTAGCGCGTATGGCCAAAAACTCTATCTCTCAAGATTCCACAATCTCATCTTAAATATACAACCAGCTAATTGGCATTCTGGTGAGGATAACGGAAAAAAGAAGTTAAAGTAAAAACTCAAATCATAATAACTCGATAATTTAAAATAAGAACCTTACAAGTTTCCAAACTCTCTATCAAAAATGGCTTCGTTAGTTGGATGCAAACTGAGTGGAAAAAAACGCTCGCTTTTATGGCTTAAGCGTCTCCAAACGTTTTAGCCCGCTGGACATATTGGCTCTTTCACGAAGCTTCGAGGACCAAGCTTCAGTTCATTCATAATACCACGGAGATACAATAATGATGAGCAGGATACACGTTTTTTTTATACGAGGCAGGGAGATTTTTGTGATTGGACCTATATGTTAAGCTCTTACGAAGAGCCTTGTTTTTTGGACTTTAATGCAGTCTCACCTGACATAAATTTCTTAATGCTATTTTTAAACATTTGCAAAAATATATTTTTGTCCCAGAATATTAGAGATTTCTTAGGTATATGCCTTACTTTTCAATTTTTTTACTCCCTGTTGTCACAATTTTTCAGTGCATTTTGTTTACATTTAGATCAGGTGCAAACTTTCGCTCATAATTATTTCATATTGTGAAGAAAACATCTCCAAAATTAAAATAAATTATAATACATACATAACAAAAATTAAAATTTAAATGAAATCATTACTGAAAATTTCTATGAACCAACCTAAAATACTGCTATGAAAGTTGGAAAGAATACACACGAAACCTTTATTCTTGTAAATAATACAAAGAGAATTGTTTCCTTCCTTGTACGAAGTAAACGAAGTATTGTAATCGCAAAAAATTTCAGATCTCATATTTCAACGAAAATATCCATTTTGGACCGCTCTCGAATTCATTTGAACCATACGTTTTTTCGTGACATCTGTACGTATGAACAGAATAAAGGACTCTTTTTCCCAAAACGGATTGTAAAATGGATTCAGGAGAGAATATTTCGTGACGTCAGTACGTACTCACATACGTATGTATGTGTCTCGCATAACTCAAAAGCAAGTAGCCCCAAAACGTTGAAATTTTGTATATGGGACTGCTATAACATGTAGCTGTACACCTACCTTTTGAGTTGCTGCTTTTGGGTAAATCGGCTGTGTCAAAAGTATATATTATATTATAACGTTGCGCGCCTCCAACTTGCACGCAACCAAGGGTGACTGTGAAAGCTTGTATAAACCACAGAGTCTTGTAAAGGGTTTAAGTCCCTTTTTTATTCAACGTAATAAATTACAATTTCGTCCTCTTGACGCTTACAAACTGTGCCCACTTGGTAGTCAAAATAAAAATAATAACCTGAAAAGAAAATAAAGACAAGATTCTAACTACGAGGCTCTCTAAAATAACTAACCACCGTGTTTTACAATACCGCTGCTAATTCAGCAGACTTGAAGCTCACTCGAACAATTTCCACTACTTCCCGCCAAGCACATAGGCCGCAACGCGGGGTTCTTCAATTCTCGCTAACTACCTCCGCGCTCGCTAAGTAAGAATATCACTCTCACCGAACTTGTTTCCTTCTATTTAAATCAGAATACTTCCGCTGATAATTTGAATCCTTGCGCGTTCTACTAAAATTTACATATTCTGGCATTGGCAGTTCCAGGGGAAAGTAAGGCTTGACAGGAAAGATAGTTTAAACTTAAAATAAATATTAGTTAAAATAAATATAAACCCTACAATATACCTACATATATATATGTGATATTTCGGCAGTCGTGGTGAAGCTTGGCATCAAAGTTCAGGCATTTCTTTAGCAGAGTGGTAAGCCGATATCCAAAGACGACACAGATTGATTTAGCTTTTATTTTCCCATTTTTATTTATAATCCAATTAGCAGATCATTTCCATCTTATATGAAACTCTCTAAATTACATATCCATAGTGATTTTAACTAAGTAGGATTGAATTTAAACTTTCTGCGTAATAACTAATTCTAACAAAGGAAAGAAAGATGGACAGAGCAGCGCGGAGTCTTGTAGCAGCGATATTAGGAAGCAGTCTGACTGAAAAATGGCGCGAACTCAGTATTTATAGTAGCGGTTACGTAATAGGATAGCAAATTCTAGAAGGTACTGGACTAGGGGGAAAATCCTGAATTGCAGAAAATTAATTAAAGGTTGCATGTTCGCGAAGAGCAAAGCCATCGTATTTTTTATATTTTACATATATGTATCTGTTACGCGGCTCAGTGAGCTCAAATTTTTATTTTTATATGTTCGTAAATTTTCCTTTTTTTTTTTTTTTTTTTTTTGGCTTTAAAATGATTGAATTATGTTGATGCAATAGTTGAAGAATTATCAGCAATATAAAAGTTGTTTAAGTGCTACTAAGCTTAACGAAGCCGCCATTTGTTTACATTTTAAATTCCTGTTTTGCTTGAAGGTGTTTTGAGTTTTTATGTATTTGTGTTTTGCCGCGAGATGAGAACTGAATTGATTGAATGAGAAATATATCTCTGATGAAATTCGAGGAAGTAAGTTTAAATTTAGTGTGGCAAAAAATGTGTGTAATTTAATAAGACGTGAGAGGAAGGTCATGTATGGCCACATGAGATAATTTATATAGAGTGTTACCTTATACGGTTGTATAAGGTTTATTTCATGTTTTATAAAGAACGCATTTCTAAATTGGCTGTTATATAATATAGTTCATGAGTATGTTATTTGTTACTTTAAATTTTATATAATTATTTTAAAAAAACCTCTGGCGGGCCGGATCATTAGTGCTTGTGCGCAAGATTTGGCCTCCGGCCGTAGTTTGGAAACCCTTGGCCTAGAGTCATCTCTGGCATTAGGATTAAATTTACACAAATAACACGCTATAAAAAAGACTTACGATTTGCGTATAGCATAATGGTAATGCTGGGCTTTATGACTAATAAATCCCGATCGTAATATACCTAGGTTGAAGTGCGGCACATATCAAGTTCGTTTCCGCATTATGTTATGAATACATGAACATTTGTCAACCATTAATTCTCTAGAATAATGGCACATCTAATATTCGATCACATATAATTTGTAATTATTGTACGTTAGTGTATTTCTGGAGATGTGGATCCATATCAGTTAGATGATAATATAAAACTTTATAATTAGCTCTACTTTAGCTGCAGAGCTAGATAAAATAATTTCTCTAATTTTCTATTTGCGCGCATTAGCAGATCAAATCGAACAACTTGAGTGATCTGAAATCTTTTATTACAGAATAAATGGAGGCCAGTTAATATTAAAATTTTTCAGTCCCAGTTTCAAGACTTTTTCTTTCGCTCTCATATTTAGGACATAGAAGAAGCACATGCTCAACATTCTCCTCGCCACCAAGGCTACAATCACAGACAGACTCGGGCTCAACTTAAATCTGTTCAGATAACTTTTGAAATTTACATGGCCAGTAAGTTAATTTATAGTTTGTGAAGAAGTGATGACATGACAATCTCATTTTTATGGAAGGTAAAATCTTTTAGTTAAGCTCCCTTTATTTGAGCTAACGAATTCGTGGTTCCACGACTCCACAATATTTTCATACATGACCTTCTTATGAAAAGAATTAGGGATATTCACAAAAGTGTCAATTTTCCGCTTAGTCGCAGACTTAGCAAGGAAATCGGCTAGTTCGTTCCCAACAACACCTGTATGACCACGAACAAATGAAAATGCAACCGAAATATTTTTATCTTTTAGGTTTTTCAGTTGTTTTTGAATCTCGATAATGATATTATTAGAGGAAGAAATACATTTTAGAATCTCCAAGGATAATAGGGAATCAGTACATATGAAATAGCCTAAAACAGCACTATTTTGTTCAGCGGTCCAGATAAAGGAGATTAAGTACCATAATTATATAGAAGATTAAGTACCATAATTAAGCTTTCAAATCAAAATGGCTTTCCACATGAATTTTATCTAGCATTTAATGAATAATTTGCTAGTCAGTCATGGCAAATTCAGTAATCGCTGAATAATTTCCTTAACATTCCTAAAAAACTGTCAGTATTATCATTATTTTTTTCTTCAACAAAATATACTGAATTTTTCCCAAATTCTTGTGAAACAGGCAAACATTTCCACATAAACAGGTAACATAAAATTTTATTTTAACTTTTTATTCATCTGTTTCGACATTCCTTTTGTTCATGAATACACGTTTTTGTATTTTGTCGTTCCAGCTCTTGAGAAAATACGATTCTTATAGATTCAAACGTTTCCTTTCTTGAAGAAAATGTTTCAAATTGTAATTTCTTTGCATAGAACCCTTTGATTTATTTTCCATTTTTACTTTTTTATCTGATATTTATATTCTTCGTCCCATGTACACTCGCTGTTGTACAAAGAAGAAAATTCACTTTAGGGAGAAAGCATCAGAATTCCATTTTGACGAATAAATAACGTTTATTTTTCGAAGTATGCCCCATTTTATTCTATCATCGTGATCGGAGAATTAAGTTACTCTTTCATAGTTGGCATTCAGAAAAGATGTGCGTTTAAGGCGAATATTTTGGTCAGTGACAAATGAAACCTTACCACGTAAACAAAATCCCAAAATTTATAAAGTTATATTTTCCCTTCTCCTAGGACAATGCCAATCTTTAGAATATTACTTATACGGTTTAGTACTTTTTGCTAGCATACACTAAGTCCAAACACCTAACAGGCTTGGAGCGAATAATGGCTTCATCTGAGAAGAACTACAAAGTCTTAAGGAGGTTTAGCAAACCTTTTAATTAAATCCGAACTGGAACATAAATGCACGATTCATGTTTACAAATCAGCCAACCACTTGTGGCGATGTAATCTAAAGTAACAGTAAATTCAAGTTTAAAACTAAATTTGGTACTCAGATGATTTAACTTGACTCCAACTTCTCACCGGCGTAAGAATTTAAATATCGGCAACTTTAATGCAAAGCCGAAGAATTGAATCTTATCTGAGCTAGTGAAACCTAGTAACATAGCCTCGTGAGGTAGAAGCACTCTCTGACTTACAATCCGCAAATCTTACTTTAAATACGCTCGAACTAATTTGCATTCTAAAGGGAAACGGAAAGAGAAGTGACAGTAAAGGTCTAAATCATAAAATAACTGGCTATACAAAAAATAATAATCTTACATACTTTTACCTGATAAAAATGGATCTTAAATAATCAAATTTCAACTTGTTTGTAAACTTGTAGCTAGCTTCGTATTTTTGTTCTTTTTCATATTCTTTACGTTGTAAAAAAGGAAAATGAGGGTACTTAATTTCTTTAATACTTAATGTTTGCTAAATTTTGAGAATGATATTAAATACTTTTTATTTCAATGAAATACGTTTAGTACATATCAGTGCAATCTCTGGTGACTACAGTATACAGAGAGAGAATGGATGGGTAATGCGCACAAAATTATTTGTCTCTTTGATGCAATTATACTTATGCATATAGACTTATTTTTCATGGTAACAGATACTGCTGTAACTAAACAGAAAACGAGTAAGTTCCTAATTGTTCAAATCTGCTTCTCTATGAGTTATTTAATTTTAAATTTCAAGGTGGTGATTTTTTTTATTTGCTCAAAGTCTGAGTTATCAATTCTTCTTTCTACCATATGCAAGACAGGTATTATTAAAAAACCTCACAAACCTCACTATTAAAATTAACATCTTACTTTTAAATGCCGCTTTCCATTCAATTTCTAAAATTGCTAGTGTGAACGAATATGTGATGAGTTAAGAAGAAATAGAGTACAATTTCAATTAAAACTAAGTATTAATAAACTTAGGAATAGTTGTCATAGATTTATTAGAACAAAAATGAATAATTCAGAGATAACAAAGCATTTACAATTTTTAGAATAATTTGAAAATTAGTGACCTAGAAATGTTTTTTGTAAAATAATTTGTTTTCAGTTCATGAACTCGTAGGCTACTGAGAATGTGCTTTTGTAAGATTACAGACAAGGGTGCTAGCCAATCAGCCCTTACTATCTAACGGTACACTTGCCTCTGCATATATCTTTTCAAAATACCTGATTTTTTACTCAAAAGTAACAATCTGCACTTATATGAACAGTATTTTCTTGTACACTTTCGTTCTTTTATTGTATCTGATGGTTTTATTTTTAAATTAATCCTTAAAAATGCTACAGAATAAAAAATAGTCTACGCCATTTTACAAAATTACATATCACGATGTTGACGGGTTAGATTGTTAAACCTGATATGTTAGTTATCACTATTTTGAATATCTATGATGCTAAAATAGAAATAATTATCAGATGGAGTGACACAAATCATTTATGAATAAGTGAAAATAGAATCTTTAAGAATTAGTAGTAATGCTTGGGATTAGCGAATATGTTTAAGCATGAAAATGTTTGTTTTATAATATAGCCTATTTTATAAACTATGCACATAATATCATACCTGTTCCTTTGACTTTTTGAAGTTTGCTTAAAATAAGTATGGGTAACATGAAAAATAAGGATCCAATCCATACAACAGCAATCATCTTATAAGCGTGAGAAAGTGTTTGCCATTTCCTGGATTTTAGAGGATGACATATTGCAAAGTATCTTTCCACTGACATTGATACTAAGGTCCAAGCACTCACACTGACACTCACGGCTGAAAGAAAAAGATGCACATAGCTTACGATTTATGCTGCGAAACACATGATTACATCTGCAAGATAAATGAATGAAACACATTATTCTAAGTTGACCCATAATTATAAAATTAGGAAAACGGAGAAATGTCTACTAGATATTTAAAACTATTCTAAAATTATGGGGGTAACTTTATGGTAAAATTTTACAGGATTAGCTATATTTGGCAATACTAAAGCATGCGCAATATAGCATAGATTAGAATGTTGTAAATATTTTACGACTTTATAGATGAGACGTTAGTGCTAGACCTGGGTAAAATATCAAAGAAAATAAATTAATAGAATATTTGTATAGAAAATCATTACGTGCAGAATTGAATAAATTTTGAAAAATGAGAAATTTAACTTCAAAATATTTTTGTGTTAAAAACTGTGAACTTTTAATTCCAGGTAGATGAACTGCATTTTCCTTTCTAAAGAATTACAGGTTTAGACTGGAAAATTACTGAAATAATATATTAAATTAGACTTAATTGCAAAATTTCTTCTTAATTTGTCATTTCAGAGCTTGCATCCAGTACAAAATGTTTTCACCTGACTTAGTTGATTTCTTTAGAAGCTGTCTTGAAAGAATAGATAACAAAGATCTCTAAGAGCTGTGTAATTAAACTTTCTCTTCCAAGGAGAAATCCCAAATATACTGAAAGTAGTATGGTATCTATTAAAATGAAACGATTTAGACAAAAACAAGAAGAGGTTGCATAAAACATCATAATATAATCACAGAAAGGCCATCTTGTCACAGGAACGCGATGGCTCACGCGCCATTGGGAATATAGTCCTTTCAAAAGTCATCTCATGCTCTGAATGTATTTGCTGTGCTCTTCACAAAAACTGTGTAGAAAAGCTATAGGGTGTTTACTCTTCTTCTGAGGGAGCTCGACAAACCTTTAAACTTTTGAATTTCCATTTCCTCTGCGTTACGCGTGCATTGGAGTGCCCCCAGCTTATTTTGTGGGCTATGGATTCGTGAAATATGCAAACCATGCCATTCGCTGATTATCTTTAATCTACAGACGTTCGGCTGTTCTATCTGTCCCGTACAGGCAAGCATTGTCGCTCGTGCAAAGGCTAGATATGTTGCTCTAGACTTTGAGAAAAGTCATGTAATATAAAAGAATTTTTATATAACACTATTTTTGACTTAAAGGATACTGTTGCGAAGATGTAATGGTGTTCTGACTTTAAACGTGATGCCTGTTTATAACATTCATTTTTGTCAATAAGGTTCAACGGGAGTTCTGTTGCTGATTATGTGTTAATCATTCTCAGCTTACTCAATGAAGTCCAAAACTGCTATTACTAACAGAATAAAGGCCTCTTTTTTCTAGAATAATTGAAAAATGGATTTAAAATGGATTCAAAAGCGATTTTTTTTCGTGACGTCTGTACGTACGTAAGTGTGCAGGCATGTATGTATGTATCTTGCGTAACTCAAATATAAGCTGTAGAACATTGAAATTTTGTATATGAGACTGCTATAACTTCTAGTTGTGCACCTCCCTTTCTGATTGCAATCGGCAGTACCAGACGTGTATATATATATAATATATATATATATATATATATAATGTAATTTATATAAATGTATGCATATATACTATATTGTATGTATTATTACTATAATGTATGTATATGTATTGTATGTATATATACTATATATAATGGATTTTTGCAATTAAAGATTTTTGTTTCCTGATTTTTAAACAGAAGTTAAAACTACTACTTAAAATATTATTTAAATTCTAAAAAATTTGTTTCATTCATGGTTTTAAATTCATTTTGTGTTCCTATGTTATATGGAAAGTTTTCCTATTATAAATTATTATGAATTATTGGTTTATGTACACTTACTTCCAAATGTTAACCACGGAGAGGAAAATGTTAATTTCCGGAAGCCAATCAGAATTAAAGAGGATGCAATTCGCTGCAGAGGTAGAAGGAAGTATGCAAATATGTTAGGTAACAGCCAATCGCGCTTTCATGTCAAGAAATATGCAAAAAAGGCAGTTTTATAAGAAGCCAGCTTTATGAAGGGTTACAGAAGTTGATTGTAAGTGCTGATAAAAGGTGTTTAAAACTTTCGTACAATTTGTTTTCAAGAAGTGTTTCTATGACATCCAGAAGACAAATGGATGATTCTGAGCGCTGGCGTGCTGTGGGGCGCATTGAAGCAGGACAGTCGATAACATATGTTGCTCTTTTCTTCGGAGTTCATCATTATGTAATTTCACGTTTATGGGCACAATTCCAAACCACACAGACAGTTGTCCAAAGGCTCGTAGCCGGTCGCCCAAGGGTTACAACCCCCGCGGAAGATCGATATATTGCTATTGTAGCCAAGCGGAATCGCAGAGCGACCTCCACACGTGTGACATCTATGGTTACAGCGTCCATTGGTAAGGCGATATCTGCAGCTACTGTACGCCCGGGTACCTCGAGTTTCTGTTCCTCTATCCGTCCAATCAAGAGGGGCACGATTACAGTGGTGCCGGGAACATGTCATTTGGAAGGTGTCTAACTGGGGCAATGTCATGTTTACTGTTGAGTCAAGATTTGCTCTGGAGCCAGATGACAAGCATATAAGGATATGGCGTGAACAACGGACACGCAATCAGTCCTAAAACATCACCGAACATCACGCATTCCGAGGCGGAAGCATTATGGTGTGGGGGCAAGGATTTCATTAGGATACCGAACCGACCTGAACATCTTTAAACGGGGTTCTTTGATGGCTGTATCGAGATGTATCGAACGGTATCGAGATGAAGTACTAGAACACATTGTGAGATTGTACGCGGCAAAAGTTGGCCCTACTTTTGTTTTAATGGACGATAACGCACGTCCCCATAGAGCTGACATCGTCGATGATTACCTGGAGAATGAAGGGATTGCGCGGATGGCGTGGCCAGCATATTCGCCCGTCTTTAATCCTATTGAAAATCTTTGGGATGCTCTCGGCCGTGCTGTATCTTCACGTTTCCCACCTCCAGCCACTCTTATTGAGCTGGAAACTGCTCTACAAGAAGAATGGCGATTGCTTAATTCTGCGGTGGTTAGGCCGCAGCAAGCTTCGAGAGAGTGAAGGTTGTATTTTTTGAGCTCCGCCAATTCAGTCTATAACTACGGAAATAATTATCCTTCAGTCTTAAAAGTAGTTGATTTAGATAACAGAAGCAGCAAGGATTACGGTGATACAAGATTTTCGGCTGTATGACAAATAGGCATTTAATTACGGAATTTTTCAAGATTTTACTAATTGTGTTAGCATTACAGTGCCATTTTCACCGTCCTGACCAGCTTTGTGGACCGCTACAAAACAACTGCAAGTCGGATCAGCTCATTTTTAATACCATTGAATAGCCCAGGTTTTTTCACTTTAATTTGGAATAAGTTTAACGTCATTTGGTTAAGTAGTAATTTAAATATGAATTAATTACTGTTTTCAAATAGTGTATTTGAAGCAGCTTCAACGCTAGCGACCGTTAGAATACCGTTGGGTGATTCACCACCCAAAGGAATTCGCATCCGGCTGAAAAAGGAGGTAGTGGCCTAATTACCACCATCTGCCTAATTAGACTCCTAATTACTGGATCAACTTACTTCCAACAGCAAACGTCCTTTCTACTAATAAGAAGTAAAAGTTCCAAATTTCATAAAATTCGACCAATTAGAACCAAAGTTACTAATTTGTGGCATTAATTATTGGACTTACAAAAATTCAAGAAGTTAGTATGAAAAATTGAAGAAGATAAGCGTCTAATATATACACAGAAGATAAGCGTCAAGTGCAGTGTGAGTTGTGTTTGTGCAAGTGCTATTCTGGTTCATTAGTGCTAATTGGATTACTGTTCCTGCTTTACAGATGAAAAACAGAGAAGATAGCAGCCAAGGTAGGACAGCCTGACATTATAATTAATTTATTAATCGCAGATTAACCAACAGGTTGGCTTCAGCCAATACTTGACACTATTTACTACTCAAAATAGGTGTCTAGTATCCTCAGGTTTCTACACCGGAAACTCGATTAATTATAAAAGTGTCTACGTAAATATGTGTTAATTAATGATGTATTGTTATTCACATGCTGATTAATTACCGCTAAATTTTTCATAACTTCGCACAAATTGTGCGATTTTAATAATTCTCAAATTGCCTAGAAGGCTCCTGTTACCCATCCCATTAACTTGACTGTGTATTTAAGTATAGTGCTTAAATTGGTAATTGCGTTAATTACCGGTATAGTCTTATTGCACTCTTGTATTTTATAATTTTATAGGCTTCTGTATAGACAGCGGCACTTTAATTGTACTCTAGGTTCCCGGCACCTTTGAACAATGCTAATTGCAATTAATCTAATTACCATATTTTAAGTCTTTAATTATTCATTTAATTAAGTTATTTATAATTTGTATACATTTCACTGTTAATTTGATTAATGTCCTTTATACAACTTAAAAGGCTTCTTCAAATGTTTATTAGTAAGTGTAAATTAGTGTGCAAAGTAGTGCTAGTAGTGACTGTGTTCAATTCAGTGATCAGCGAATTGTGCAAAATAGTGTAACGCGAACTTTCCATTTTTTATTGTAACGAATTTCTAGTACCACTGAATAGACTCTTTACAATAACTGCCATCACGGTGCTCCCTTCAAATCATGCCACGTCCTTCGGCCCTTACAACTGACGGAGAATCATCTGACACACAAAGTACCTTAGACGCTTCTAAGAAATTGGCTTCAGATCTGCCTTACGTAGAAAAGATTTCCATTTTTTACGAAGACATCCGACAGGTAACGACCACTAAAAGAAACGCCAAATTCCTCTTACCAACTGAACTCCGTGCTCGCCTCCTAGACTCTCTGGCCGCATTACAAACGCTGGCCATAAAAGGACCAGACTTTATACCAAAAACTGCCAAAGTCGATACCGGAGTCAATACCTCAACCGTGCTTTGTTG